GTTCAACTCTTCAACAATACACTCACTGAAACACCTCCCATTTGATTAAGACTTTTGCTGAAAAAAATGACACAGCTAATGGTGATTAGATTCAAACCCAGGTAACTAACTCACATTGAGAGTATTCACCAAAATTGAAACTGTCACTATTAGTCAAAAGTAAAACCAATGTAAATTTTTTCTTCTGCATAATAAATTTTATTAAAGTTTATATTTTATAACATTAAAGCTTCTTACAGCTAATTAGAATAACAAAGAGAAAAGCTGAAAATATACTAAAGTTCCTTCAAGTAATTCACCCATATGAAACACTGAAAAATTCTGGACTAGTATAATAAAAATCCCAAAGGTCATGTACTCAGAAAAGAAAATTGGTTAACACTGGAAAACTTCACACACACCACACACATACACACCCACACATACACACACCCCTCTCAAATCAACTGTTTTTGAAAAACATAAAGAAAAAATTTTAATGACTAATAATGGCCTATGTTTCAAAATAAATTAGGAAACAAAAAATAAGATGTTCTTCAATAACTATTTTAGCACATTATCCTTTAAAAGGCAATAAACACTTTTCCTACCACCATAATCAAAGGCCAGTTAGATGGAAAAAAACTACAATGCTCAAAACTCTGCAAAGATTAGGAGTTCGTAAGTGTGTAAATGCCTGGTACACATAGTGGTGGCTCAATAAATATGTAGAATAAATGAATAAAAGACTACATGAAAACTGCCAGAATTATTAAATTTGAGGAAATTAAAAAGAAAGAAAAGCTTCACATGTATATTAATTCTTAGATTTAACCAGCCCTACCCTTTGGGGAGAAATGAAAGCAAAGGAATCACTGGGGTGGTGTCTGTCTGCCTGGGTTACAAGTGCTGCCTGACAACTCAACAAGCAGTTTTTGAAAACTTGTTTCAAAACGTTGTAAGTACATGAAAGACAGTTCAACAATCATTTTTAATTTTTTTAAGTAAAAATAAACTCTTCTGATCATCAAATGCATGCAGAAATAAGCATCACCATGAATGACATTACCTGCAGAAGTCACCTAAAAGAAATCTTCACTTCAGGTTATATACTGTTACATAAGTATTGAATTCAAAAGAATTCTTAGATTTTTCTACTTCCCAACTACTTTTCCCTCTTAAGCCATTTGGACCTCTGCCAATATAGATGGAAAAAATTCCTTTCATGAGGAAGCTGACTCCCAGGAAGAACCCACTGGGGTCCAACAGGGCAGGGTAACCTCCTATTTTCCATCTGAACCTCCAAGAGCTAACCCAGAATTTAACATATGGTCATTACTGAGCTGGGCACTGCAGGATACTTTCCAATACAGATTCACATGAGATCTTCCCACTCAACTTTCAGGATAGCACTCAAAATGGCTGCAAGGGTGTGGCAGGCATGTCAAGGTATCTCTCATCCTGCTGATATCCAGTGAATATATGAAAATTTAGCAGGGGGATAATTCAATCATATCCCAACCTTAGGAAAATAAGCAGTTGTTTAAAAGGTAGTCTCTGCTACATACTACAGATGAAAGAAAAAAAGAGACATCTCTTCAGAAAACAGAAATAAATGTTGTAATTACTAAGTTTTTGAAAACTGTACATTGACCTAATTACTCCAAGAGGTGATTAGCCAATTTGGAATTTTTTTCAAGCCTATTTGATTATATGAATAGTTACTGAAACACATCTAAATTATGTGCAGAAGAGCTAAACAAGCTGAAAGTCAAAAAACAACTTGATGTCTGTAGTACTCTATAGGGAACCCTCAATACATTATGGGGAGAAAAAAAGATAGATTACATTACACCTTGACTTAAAAATGATTTAAAGCAATGATTTTCAAACTTTGGGTCTCAAGAGTCTTCTACACTCTTAAAAATTATTAAGGACCTGAAAGAACTTTGTTTTTGTGGGTTAGTATGTTTATCAGCAGTTACTGTTTTTAGAAGTTAAAACTGAGAAATTTTCAAAATATTAATTCACATAAAAATACCAATAAATCTATTAGTTGTTAACATTTTTTGGAATTTTTTTTTTAATGAAAAAAAATTTAGTGACAGAAGAGTGGTATTCTTCCAGAAGATACCTTAGATTCTCATATCTATAGATTCTCGTATCTATTTATGCAATCTGTTGTGACATGTTGTTTTGGATGAAGTATATGAAGAAACTCCAGGGACTTCTCTGGTGGTGCAGTGGTTAAGAATCCGCCTGCCAATGCAGGGGACACGGGTTCAAGCCCTGGTCTGGGAGGATCCCACATGTGGTGGAGCAGCTAAGCCCGTGCACCACAACTACTGAGCCCGCATGCTGCAACTACTGAAGCCCGAGCACCTGGAGCCCGTGCTCTGCAACAAGCCCACGTGCCACAACTAGAGAAAGCCTACACGCAGCAACAGAGACCCAACGCAGCCAAAAATAAGTTTATTTTTTAAAAAAAGGAAAGGAACTCCAGTTTCACACATATATATAGCTGGAAAGGGAGGCATATTTTAATATCGGTTTCAGTAATTATAGATATTCTTTGATACTTCACCAAAACTTGACAAGTGGTAGTTTCTTAAACATCAGTTGCAATGTGAAATCTGAAACTGTATCAATCAACTTCTCATGCTCTGCTAGATTAAAATCCATTGGTCTATCTTGCACTGAGTAAATTTTTAATATCCAATCAAGATTTTGTTGACCTTACGTACTGGTAATTTAGAATAATGGTTCACTGAGCTATGCAGATCTTCCAAATACTTACACAGTATTTTTAAATTACATTATTTAACATCATCTTATCAGAAAAGTTTCACCAATAAAGCCTCTTCAGAAAAGAACTGGGAAGATGTCAAGCTATGGTGGTGAACAGAAGTTTTCCAAAATTCTAATTTTTGCTGGAAAGTCAAATTTGTCCACTGGCAATAAATACTTTTAGTTGTTTAGTTGTTTAAATACTTTTAGTTGTTTCCCTTGAAGTGAGAGGCTCACCTGTTCATGTTAGATGTTAGAAAAATGTCTGCTAAACACCCACGTCTGAATAACCACAGTTCGTCCATCAGTTCTTTCAAGCAAAAACAGTATTCTATGTAAAAAGCAACTAGTTTAGCTTGCAACTCAATCACACAAATGACTGAGGCAACCTTTTCTCGAGGCAACTTCGAGATAGTATATGTGCTTTACATGTCCTTCTTATTTTATCAAGTTAAAAGGAAGTGTACTCGAAGACTGAAATGAAACAAAATTACTCCAATTTTTATGGATTCATCAAAGAGATCCTTAAGTGAAAGTAGCATTGTTGTTTTAATTGCAAATGCACGGCAGTGGCTACTAGTACAGTCTGCTACCCCAGCAGCTTGATTCGTGTTAAAATGCCAGCAGCTTTACCCATCACCACTTTTGCAAATGTCAAAAACAGTGAAAAAGTGGGGGAAAAAAATCCTAGTATTAGTAATGGAAAGAGTTTTGACCTTACAGACCCCCTGAAAGTGCCTCCGAAGACACCAGGAATCTACAGAGCATACTTTAAGAACTTCTGGTCTAACACAGTATTTCCCACACTGAGGAATCCCTATGTGAAGGGCAGAGGTGTCAAGCTAACAGGATTCTAGAGACAGCTCCACCTCCAAACACAACATCTACAAATTGGCTACCACTGTATGTGTTTATTTTGAATTCCCATATTAGATTCCATTTGAAGAAATGGTTCATTCTACAGCCACCACAGTCCAAAAACCATAGACGTTCCTAATTCGAGCTATCCTACAAGGTCTACGTGCTCGAGTAAAGTCACACAGAGGCAATCATACCTTGTCTATCAGATCACGGTTGACACAGTTGGGCAATTGCTGGAGAAAAGCATCTACTATGAGCTTGAGATGAGATCCAGTGCTGGCTTCTTCATCCTCTTGTTCTAATACGAAATTCGTTTTTAAACAGGTTTAAATATATATATACATAGACAATATAAGAATAAAAACATCCAGTAAGAAGTTATCTGGGGCATAGATAATCTAGAGCACTTTTCTTACTCATGAAAAAATGAAGCATTTTTTGAGATATTACCCTAGAAAGTGTGGGTATCTTTAGAATCATAACCCTAAATCACTACTGTCTTTCAGATATCAACTATAAAAAGGCAAACTTTTACATAAGTCATAAGTTGCATGTAGTTTTATAGTAGATCTGCTATTTTTATGTCACGCATCCCTTCTCCCATGTCTTCAATTAACAGTGCGATCATCGCTTGCCCTCGAAGGCAATCCATGGGATTCTGATGGGGAAGGGTGCTGCCCAAGCACAGACACCACCACTCCTCTCGGCCACAGGCAAGCATGACACAGGACTAGTCAAGTCCTTCCATGAGGCTTATACACAGACAGTGGGAGACAAGCCCTCTTTTCTTCTGATGTCACTAACTGGTTTGAGCCAAGGGTAGCCTCCAGCCATGCCTCTCTCCCTTCATGACATGGATAAACAGAATCTGCAGTAGGAAACAATGAAGCCCATAGAGAGACAGGCAATACTGACAAGGTATCTTTCTAATAAAGAATCCTAACTAATAAAGAAACTTGATGGGAAGTATTCAGGAAATAATTAACAATGTGATATTTTTATTACTAAATATAAAACATTACTCAATTATAAAGATAAAATTACCACAGATGAATTGATATACTAATTGTCTTTTTATCTCTCAACTTTCAAACACACTTATGTTAAGACTGTAAACATTATAGCAGAATTAGAATACATTAAGGACAATGCTAGCAAGTAGAGAAGTGTAAGAAATATCTATTAACATTCAGATTATCACTAAAGTTTGTAGTCACATAATATAGGACATGTAGTATTTCTGTTCCAAATCAAATTTCAAAAAAGTGATAGCCTAGAAACAACAGGAAAACACGGAATAAAAGAGTAAAGACCCATATTCTCAGGCAAGGGCTCTGTGTAGAAACACTAATCAAAACTTGGGAATTCCCCAGCGGTCCAGTGTTTAGGACTCTGTGCTCTCACTGCCGAGGGCCCGGGTTCAATCGCTGGTCAGGGAACTAACATCCCACAAGTTGCAAAGCGTGGCCAAAAATAAATAAAATAAAACAGACGTTTAAAAAAAAAAACAACTAGTCAAAAATTAAAATTTCTGGCAAAAGTGTTTACCTTGCTCATCAAGAAGTTTCTTTGTAAGATCTTCAGCTTCATCTCCACCCTCTAGCTCCAAAGTGTCATCATTAATCTCTAGGTTCTCCAACTCAAGCTCCAAATCATCAGGACTTGATACCTCCTTATTATCCTTAGGTTCCTTTGCCTCTGTTTGAAATCAAAGAATCAGTACCTCTGAAATAAAAGTCACATTGAAATCCTGCTGCAAAAACTACAAAGACTCACAAAATCTGCATCGTTTGTCTTAGAATCTACAATTATACCTGGCAAGAAATTTGATATATTCAGATTTTTAAAAATACATTATGCTCATTGAGAACAAAGACCATAACTTCTTTGATTCTGTATGCCATCTGTTCACTGAAGAAATGAACAGATGGATGGATTGATGAATTGATGAATGGAGACATATATGGCATGAGGATCTGTGGTAAAGATGAGGGGAAGATAAAGCAGATTAGATAAAGTGGACTCTAATTAATTAAGATGTCCATATTATTCTGTCATTCATTTAACCTAGTGACTCAATGTTCATATTACAAAAGTAGTAATTAAAAAAAAAATTTTACAACTATTATATTGAAACTAATCTTTATAGCACTTCAATATAAAAAAATTTGTCCTCCAGCACTTACCTTTGTAATCATCCTTGTTGGACTCTTTATTCTGACAACTTTTTTCATTATCTTTAAACAAGATGGCTGGAACAAAAGCTTTCAAATCAATGAGGTTCTCATAAAAATTCCGAGCATCTTCATCCTCCCATATACCACCTTCCAAGTCATAATCTCCAGGTTTACCAGGTGTAAATATATCAATTCCAGGCCCATGCTCTACAATAATGTAAATCACAAGGAATTAAAACCAATAAACCTTGAATGTTTTGATTAACAGACGCTTCTTCAATCCACAAGCACTCTGAACTGTTCATGTAACCATCTTTACCAGAAAATCACAAACTGTGTTTTAGCTCTAAACCAGGACAGACAAGAGGAAAGCATAGGATAAAGATGTTTTTCTCTTAAATGTTTTAAGCAACTGATATGAGATCAAGTAGCCATTTGATATATTAGGCCCACCTTCATAAAACTTAAAACCAATATAAGAAATATATAAGCATGGTCATTCCTAAATATCCAGCTTAAAGTCCCACCTCCCGTATGAAGCATTATTTTAAGACTCGCAACCCTCTGTACAATTTATATCATAATTATCATCACAAGTTTATGGTTTATCTTACCATAAACCCTTAAGAAGCAACACTCCTTTTGGTATTTACTTGGTATAAGACAGACTGCCATAAATGGTCAATTGATAAATAACTGGAAAGGAAGGGAAGGAATGATGAGGAAATATATAGATATTTCAGTAGAGTGGAAAACCATGTATAACACACACACACGCACACATACACACACACACACAGTCTACCTTACATACAACTACACTTTCTTAAACTCAGAACATTAAAAGTAACTAATTTCCTACTTCATGATCATGAGACCATTCATGATTTTATCTATCCTCACTGTACATCTCTCCAAACTAGAGAATGATCCTGCAGATTAAAATTCACCTTGAGGGGTTCCTTGGTGGTGCAGGGGTTAAGAATCCTCCTGCCAATGCAGGAGACAAGGGTTCAAGCCCTGGTCCAGGAATATCCCACATGCCACAGAGCAACTAAGTCTGCGTGCCACAACTACTGAGCCTGCATTCCAAAGCCCGCGTGCCACAACTACTGAAACCCGTGCACCTAGAGCCCATGCTCCGCAACAAGAGAAGCCACCGCAATGAGAAGCCCGTGCACCACAAGGAAGAGTAGTCCCCGCTCGCTGGAACTACAGAAAAGCCCAGGAGCAGCAACGAAGACCCAATGCAGCCCCAAATTAATCAATTAATTAATTTTTTAAAAAAGAATCTAACAGAGCAGAAACCAGAATTAAAAACAAACAAACAAAAAAAAAAAACAAAAAAATCCTGAGAGGGACTTCCCTGGTGGCGCAGCAGATAAGAATCTGCCTGCCGACTTCCCTCGTGGTCCAGTGGTTAAGACTCTGTGCTCTCAATGCAGGGGGCACGGGTTTGATTCCTGGCTGGGGAACTAAAATCCTGCATGATGCAGAGCATGACCCCCCAAAAATAAAAAAATTAAAAAAAAAAAACTAAAAGGATGTTTTGGGGCTTCCCTGGTGGCGCAGTGGTTGAGAGTCCGCCTGCCAATGCAGGGTACACGGGTTCGTGCCCCGGTCTGGGAAGATCCCACATGCCACGGAGAGACTAGGCCAGTGGGCCATGGCCGCTGAGCCTGCACGTCCATAGCCTGCACGTCCGGAGCCTGTGCTCTGCAACGGGAGAGGCCACAACAGTGAGAGGCCCGCGTACCGCAAAAAAAAAGAATCCGCCTGCCAATGCAGGAGACACGGGTTCGAGCCCTGGTCCAGGAAGATCCCACATGCTGTGGAGCAACTAAGCCTGTGCAGCACAACTACTAAGCCTGCGCTCTGGAGCCTGCAAGCCACAACTACTGAGCCCACGTGCCACAACTACTGAAGCCCACATGCCTAGAGCCCGTGCTCCGCAACAAGAAGCCCCTGCACGACAACTAAGAGTAGCTCCCGCTCCCCACAACCAGAAAGCCCACGTGTAGCAACAAAGACCCAACGCAGCCAAAAATAAATAAATAAATTTATTTTAAATAAAAAATAAAAGTGATGGCAGAATTTTGTCAACTTTGTTACACAGCATTTACATTTATACTGTATTAGGTATTATATGTAATCTACATGATGATTTAAAGTATATGGGAGGATGTGTGCATGTTATATGCAAATACTAAGCCATTTTATATGAGGGACTTGAGCATCGTTGGAGGTCCTGGAACCAATCCCAGGCAGATACCAAGGAAGGACCATAAATGTAATCACAGTATACAATGGGTATTTTCTTATTGAGGATGTAAAATACAAAACACCTTCTTGTATTATAAAAGGACACTTTACAAATATTTCACTCTTAGATTTTTAAGTAAATAGGATTTTCAAATAGTTTTAAGATTAATAATGTATTAACATTTATCTACCGAAAGTAATTTTTCAAGTAGTTGTTGTGATATGTTAGAATAGTATATTAGGAGCCTTACCAAAAAGTTTAAAACACCTTCGAAATAATATGGAAAGTAACTCATCTTACAAAATGATAAACAATTTATTTTATAAAACTGCAAAGTAGGCTTTAGTTCTAAGTTAACAATGTAAGATAATATACCATTCAAAACAACTAAATTACCTTGGTTGTTTGGCCTGAGGCAACCCAACACTGGAGCCTACCTGGGCTCTTTGGTAGGGCTAATGGCAGACTCTGGGATGGCTCACACCAACGAGTACCTCCCAGAACTTCTGCTGCCAGTGTCCTAGTCCCCACGGTGAGCCACAGCCACCCCCCACCTCTGCAAGAGACCCTCCAACACTAGCAGGCGTGTGGATGAAAGGCTCTTGGTGCTGCAACCAGGATTCAGTGCTGTGCCTCTGACATGGGAGAGCCAACTTCAGGACGCTGGTCCGCAAGAGACCTCCCAGCGCCACGTAATATCAAACGGTGAAAATCTCCCAGAGATCTCCACCTCAACACCTACACCCAACTTCACTCAACGACCAGGAAGCTACAGCGCTGGACATCCTATGCCAAACAACTAGCAAGGCAGGAACACAACCCCACCCATTAGCAGAGAGGCTGCCTAAAATCATAAGGCCACAGACACCCCAAAACACTCCACCAGACGTGGACCTGCCCACCAGAAAGACAAGATCCAGCCTCATCCACCAGAACACAGGCACTAGTCCCCTCCACCAGGAAGCCTACACAACCCACTGAACCAACCTTAGCCACTGGGGGCAGACACCAAAAACAACATGAACTAAGAACCTGCAGCCTGCAAAAAGGAGACCCCAAAAACAGTAAGATAAGCAAAATGAGAAGACAGAAAAACACACAGCAGATGAAGGAGCAAGATAAAAACTGACCAGACCTAACAAATGAAGAGGAAATAGGCAGTCTACCTAAAAAAAGAATTCAGAATAATGATAGTAAAGATGATCCAAAATCTTGGAAATAGAATACAGAAAATGCAAGAAACATTTAACAAGGACCTAGAAGTACTAAAGAGGAAACAAGCAATGATGAACAACACAATAAATGAAATTAAAAATACTCTAGATGGGATCAATAGCAGAATAACTGAGGCAGAAGAACGGATAAGTGACCTGGAAGATAAAATAGTGGAAATAACTACTGCAGAGCAGAATAAAGAAAAAAGAATGAAAAGAACTGAGGACAGTCTCAGAGACCTCTGGGACAACATTAAACGCACCAACATTCTAATTATAGGGGTCCCAGAAGAAGAAGAGAAAAAGAAAGGGACTGAGAAAATATTTGAAGAGATTATAGTTGAAAACTTCCCTAATATGGGAAAGGAAATAGTTAATCAAGTCCAGGAAGCACAGAGAGTCCCATACAGGATAAATCCAAGGAGAAACACACCAAGACACATATTAATCAATCAAAAATTAAATACAAAGAAAACATATTATAAGCAGCAAGGGAAAAACAACGAATAACACACAAGGGAATCCCCATAAGGTTAACAGCTGATCTCTCAGCAGAAACTCTGCAAGCCAGAAGGGACTGGCAGGACATATTTAAAGTGATGAAGGAGAAAAACCTACAACCAATATTACTCTACCCAGCAAGGATCGCATACAGATTTGATGGAGAAATTAAAACCTTTACAGACAAGGAAAAGCTGAGAGAGTTCAGCACCACCAAACCAGCTTTACAACAAATGTTAAAGGAACTTCTCTAGGCAAGAAACACAAGAGAAGGAAAGTCCTATAATAACGAACCCAAAACAATTTAGAAAATGGGAATAGGAACATACATATCGATAATTACCTTAAATGTAAATGGACTAAATGCTCCCACCAAAAGACACAGATTGGCTGAATGGATACAAAAACAAGACCCATATATATGCTGTCTACAAGAGACCCACTTCAGACCTAGAGACACATACAGACTGAAAGTAAGGGGATGGAAAAAGATATTCCATGCAAATGGAAACCAAAAGAAAGCTGGAGTAGCAATTCTCATATCAGACAAAATAGACTTTAAAATAAGGACTATCAGAAGAGACAAAGAAGGACACTACATAATGATTAAGGGATCGATCCAAGAAGAAGATATAACAATTGTAAATATTTATGCACCCAACATAGGAGCACCTCAATACATAAGGCAAAAACTAGCAGCCATAAAAGGGGAAATCGACAGTAACACATTCATAGTAGGGGACTTCAACACCCCACTTTCACCAATGGACAGATCATCCAAAATGAAAATAAATAAGGAAACACAAGCTTTAAATGATACATTAAACAAGATGGACTTAATTGATATTTATAGGACACTCCATCCAAAAACAACAGAATACACATTTTTCTCAAGTGCTCATGGAACATTCTCCAGGATAGATCATATCTTGGGTCACAAATCAAGCCTTGGTAAATTTAAGAAAATTGAAATTGTATCAAGTATCTTTTCCGACCACAACGCCATGAGACTAGATATCAATTATAGGAAAAGAGCTGTAAAAAATACAAACACATGGAGGCTAAACAATACACTACTTAATAACGAAGTGATCACTGAAGAAATCAAAGAGGAAATTAAAAAATACCTAGAAACAAATGACAATGGAGATACAACGACCCAAAACCTATGGGATGCAGCAAAAGCAGTTCTAAGAGGGAAGTTTATAGCAATACAAGCCCACCTTAAGAAGCAGGAAACATCTCGAATAAACAACCTAACCTTGCACCTCAAGCAATTAGAGAAAGAAGAACAAAAAAACCCCAGAGTTAGCAGAAGGAAAGAAATCATAAAAATCAGATCAGAAATAAATGAAAAAGAAATGAAGGAAACAATAGCAAAGATCAATAAAACTAAAAGCTGGTTCTTTGAGAAGATAAACAAAATAGATAAACCATTAGCCAGACTCATCAAGAAAAAAAGGGAGAAGACTCAAATCAATAGAATCAGAAATGAAAAAGGAGAAGTAACAACTGACACTGCAGAAATACAAAAAATCATGAGGGATTACTACAAGCAACTCTATGCCAATAAAATGGACAATCTGGAAGAAATGGACAAATTCTTAGAAATGCACAAACTGCCAAGACTGAATCAGGAAGAAATAGAAAATATGAACAGACCAATCACAAGCACTGAAATTGAAACTGTGATTAAAAATCTTCCAACAAACAAAAGCCCAGGACCAGATGGTTTCACAGGCGAATTCTCAAACATTTAGAGAAGGAAGAGCTAACACCTATCCTTCTCAAACTCTTCCAAAATATAGCAGAGGGAGGAACACTCCCAAACTCATTCTACGAGGCCACCAATATCACTGATGAACACAGATGCAAAAATGCTCAACAAAATACTAGCAAATACTAGCACATTAAAAGGATCATACACCATGATCAAGTGGGGTTTATTCCAGGAATGCAAGGATTCTTCAATATACGCAAATCAATCAACGTGTTAAACCATATTAACAAAGTGCAGGAGAAAAACCATATGATCATCTCAATAGATGCAGAGAAAGCTTTCGACAAAATTCAACACCCATTTGTGATAAAAACTGTGCAGAAAGTAGGCATGGAGGGAACTTTCCTCAACATGATAAAGGCCATATATGACAAACACACAGCCAACATCATCCTCAATGGTGAAAAACTGAAACCGCTTCCACGAAGATCAGGAACAAGACAAGGTTGCCCACTCTCAGCACTCTTCTTTTTTTTTTGGGGGGTGGGTACGCAGGCCTCTCACTGTTTTGGCCTCTCCCGTTGCGGAGCACAGACGCGCAGGCTCAGTGGCCGTGACTCACGGGCCCAGCCGCTCCACGGCACGTGGGATCTTCCCAGACTGGGACACGGACCTGTGTCCCCTGCATCGGCAGGCAGACTCTCAACCACTGCGCCACCAGGGAAGCTACTCTTATTCAACATAGTTTTGGAAGTTTTAGCCACAGCAATCAGAGAAGAAAAGGAAAAAAAAGGAATCCAAATCGGAAAAGAAGAAGTAAAGCTGTCACTGTTTGCAGATGACATGATACTATACATAGAGAATCCTAAAGATGCTACCGGAAAACTACTAGAGCTAATCAATGAATTTGGTAAAGTATCAGGATACAAAATTAACCCACAGAAATCTCTGGCATTCCTATACACTAATGATGAAAATTCTAAAAGTGAAATTAAGAAAACACTCCCATTTACCATTGCAACAAAAAGAATAAAATATCTAGGAATAAACCTACCTAAAGAGACAAAAGACCTGTATGCAGAAAATTATAAGACACCGATGAAAGAAATTAAAGATGATACAAAAAGATGGAGAGATATAGCATGTTCTTGGATTGGAAGAATCAACACTGTGAAAATGACTCTACTACCCAAAGCAATCTACAGATTCAATGCAATCCCTATCAAACTACCACTCGCATTTTTCACAGAACTAGAACAAAAAGTTTCACAATTTGTATGGAAACACAGAAGACCCCGAAGAGCCAAGGCAATCTTGAGAAAGAAAAACGGAGCTGGAGCAATCAGGCTCCCAGACTTCAGATTATACTACAAAGCTACAGTAATCAAGACAGTATGGTACTGGCACATAAACAGAAATATAGATCAATGGAACATGACAGAAAGGCCAGAGATAAACCCACGCACATATAGTCACCTTATCTTTGATAAAGGAGGCAGGAATGTACAGTGGAGAAAGGACAGCCTCTTCAGTAAGTAGAGCTGGGAAAACTGGACAGGTACATGTAAAAGTATGAGATTAGATCACTCCCTAACACCATACACAAAAATAAGCTCAAAATGGATTAAAGACCTAAATGTAAGCCCAGAAACTATCAAACTCTTAGAGGAAAACATAGGTGGAACACTCTATGACATAAATCACAGCAAGATCCTTTTTGACCCACCTCCTAGAGAAATGGAAATAAAAGCAAAAATAAACAAATGGGACCTAATGAAATTTCAAAGCTTTTGCACAGCAAAGGAAACCATAAACAAGCCAAAAAGACAACCCTCAGAATGGGAGACAATATTTGCAAATGAAGCAACTGACAAAGGATTAATCTCCAAAATTTACAAGCAGCTCATGCAGCTCAATAACAAAAAACAAACAACCCAATCCAAAAATGGGCAGAAGACCTAAATAGACATTTCTCCAAAGAAGATATACAGATTGCCAACAAACACATGAAAGAATGCTCAACATCATTAATCATTAGAGAAATACAAATCAAAACTACAATGAGATATCATCTCACTCCAGTCAGAATGGCCATCATCAAAAAATCTAGAAACAATAAATGCTGGAGAGGGTGTGGAGAAAAGGGAACAATCTTGCACTGCTGGGGGGAATGTGAATTGGTACAGCCACTATGGAGAACAGTACGGAGGTTCCTTAGAAAACTACAAATAGAACTACCATATGACTCAGCCATCCCACTGCTGGGCATATACCCTGAGAAAACCATAATTCAAAAAGAGTCATGTACCAAAATGTTCATTGCAGCTCTATTTACAATAGCCAGGAGATGGAAGCAACCTAAGCGTCCATAATCAGATGAATGGATAAAGAAGATGTTGCACATATATACAATAGAATATTACTCAGCCATAAAAAGAAACGAAATTGAGTTATTTGTAGTGAGGTGGATGGACCTAGAGTCTGTCGTACAGAGTGAAGTAAGTCAGAAAGAGAAAGACAAATACCGTATACTAACACATATATATGGAATCTAAGGGGAAAAAAATGTCATGAAGAACCTAGGGGTAAGATGGGAATACAGACACAGACCTACTAGAGAATGGACTTGAAGATATGGGGAGGGGGAAGGGTAAGCTGTGACAAAGTGAGAGAGTGGCATGGACATATATACACTACCAAATGTAAAATAGATAGCTAGTGGGAAGCAGCCGCATAGCACAGCAAGATCAGCTCGGTGCTTTGTGACCACCTAGAGGGTTGGGATAGGGAGCGTGGGAGGGACAGAGACGCAAGAGGGAAGACATATGGGAACATATGTATATGTATAACTGATTCACTTTGTTATAAAGCAGAAACTAACACACCATCGTAAAGCAATTATACTCAAATAAAGATGTTAAAAATAAATAAGTAAAATAAAGTAGAATCTCAGCCTTAAAAAAAAAAACTAAATTACAAATAAATATAAGCAAAGAAATATCAGCATCACAAATGTCCAATTCACTTTATTACCTGCCCAAGAAATAAAGTAAATCTTTCTGTAGCTCCAAGTATGTTTTAAGACAGGCACCTGTTAGACACAATCTAACGATATCTATTACAAAAGAACCTGAAGGGACTTCCCTGGTGGGGCAGTGGTTAAGAATCCCCCTGCCAATGCAGGGGACTCAGGTTTGAGCCCTAGTCTGGGAAGTCCCACATGCCACGGAGCAACTAAGCTTGTGCACCACAACTACTGAGCCTGTGCTCTAGAGCCTGTGAGCCACAGTTACTTAGCTCATGCACTGCAACTACTGAAGGCTGCACACCTAGAGCCCGTGCTCCACAATAAGAGAAGCCAACGCGATGAGAAGCCTACGTACCACAATGAAGAGTAGCCCCTGCTCACTGCAACTAGAGAAAGCTCATGCACAGCAACGAAGACCCAACGCAGCCAAAAATTAAATAAGTAAATTTATTATTAAAAAAGAAAAGAGCCCCTGAAGAAATTCATCGTATCATATGAATTAATTATTATTCTCTAAGTGCAAAGCCTTTTCCACTCAGAGAAGCATTTCAAGTGGATTTTCAATGTTCTTATTAGGTCTTAATACTACTTCTTCATTTAAAAAATTTTAAAGACATTTCAAAACATCCATTTTCAATATTACACATCTGAGAAGACTAAAGATATAAGTGATTACTGTCTACTAAAAAAAATCACAATGTTTGTTTTTAAGGATATCTTACCTTCTGGTGTTGGTTTGTCTTGAGGAAGATCTGGCATATTTTCATCCAAAAGGTCTGCTAAGGATTGAGAATTTGCCAGCAGCTTCTGATAAGACATAGCAAATTCCTCATACTGTTTATGTCTATCTTCACTCAGCTCCCCTTTAGAATGTAGAATACGCCTATAAACAAATGATGAAATAATCTGATAATCTTATCAAAATAGATGGGATCATGTATTATTACATTGGGAATGTTCCATAAAATTTGACTTTATCACACAGGCTTATTAACACAATCTTCTTTAACAACTTATTTTTAACACTTAACTTTCAAGACGTATCTGAAATTAAAACTTGTACGTCAAATTCACCTAAACAATTAAAGTTTTTTAAACAATTAAATTTTCACATTGGTTCTTCAGAAAACATGAAGTGTGATTAACAATTATGCTTGCAGAAATATAAAATTCAACAGTATACCACTAATTTTAGTATTTTGTTACAGCCATATTCCCATCAGACATACAAGCTGGTTTTCAAAAACAGTACGTTATAGAAAGAATCAGTATCTTTAAACTTTCACAATGATTTGATTCGAGATTATCTTGAAAAAGCCTACATCTTCCATGTAGTCAATTCTCAAGCTACTGTGCAAGCACTCGTTATTTATCCATTTAACAAATATTAACTGAGCAAACCCACTTAATCAAGGACAGGCCACCCTGAAGAGCAGAGGACACAAGTACTCCTGCACTCTGCAAACAGTTCACTAATAAGCCACCCATAATTAGAAATGTAAAACTAATGAAAATTTTCAAATTGTATAAAGTAAAATTTTTACTGTAGTACCTTAGATGGTTGAAATGTCTATAGCTGGACCCAATTTTTCTACAACTAAATATTTATGTAGTAGTGTAACATCTGAAATTTATAAACCTTAATACAAATACAATATGGATTTCAAAAATCAATTATAAATTGTAAATTAAGTCATTTTCAAAAGTAATATTTAAAAGTATTTTTTATTCCTTGTTTTGAGTTTCCTTATGAACAGTGAAGAAAATGAGTTAGAGTTTTTTGTGTGTTATCTCCTGAAAAGTTATAGAAAATGAAGTAGAAAATCCATCCCTACAGTTATTTATCCCTGCTTATTTGGAACAATTTCCAAAGTTTCCCATTTTCTCCCATTCTTATCCACAGAAACTTTTGTTTAAATGCTACAATATTCCAAATATCAACATTTTCTATTTTTAGGAATAGCAGTTCCCATTTACAAGCACAAGATAGATCAATACAAAGATCAATCATTATTCATTAAATCCAATTCTTTTTTTCCCCAAATCTGGCCTATTAGGATCTAAAGTGAGAATTTTTCACTCATTTTCTTGTGATTTAAATACACGTCAGACAATATCGTTCTACAAATAGATAAGTAAAATGCCAAGATAGTTTAACCATAATAATCCAGGCTAAAAAGTACTCCTCTAACAACACTGTCATTAAAGAAGTTTCTTTCTCTCTTCAAACATATATTTCAGACTAACTTTACAGGCAAAAACAAAGTTTCTTTCAGTAAGTTTTATGAATGAATTTTTTTAATTAAAGCAAATACCCAAGCATTTAAAAATATTCAAGTCATGAAAGAAATGACTGACAATATTTTAAATGAGCTTGTTAGAACTTTTAATTAGAAGTCATGTCATTTTTGAAGTTAAAAAAGCCATTAAAATTAAATAATTTGAATAAATAATACTCAAAGGCAGGCCACTCTAAAATGTTCTACAATTATTAGGAAAAATGTTAATTAATTAAAACTTGAATTTATTCAGAAACAAATTATGTTAAAAGAGATAATAGTTCCAAGGGATTTCAAAACCTCTATTGACAACTAAGATGCAAAATTATTTCAGCTTGAAACGAAATTGGAAAATATCTCAAAATACCATGAACCTGGAACTTTATTTCTCTAACAAGTTGACATTCTGGTCTTCTGAAGAACATACACCCAGTTTAGGTTATACAATATTCACTAAGGATTTATGACATACAAGCTGTAGCAAGGTGGTGACTATTTTATCAGAACAGAAAATGAATTCTTTTTTCCAGTATCAACTTCACTTTCAAACTTTTGCCTGGGACTTTGCATGGGTAAATTAAAAGTGACTGAATTCTATGAGGGGTCCCTTTGTATGCATTCAGTTCCTTTCCATTTCTCCTGGAACCAGTTAAAACTCTGAAGCTTCAGAGATATTCCTCGTCCTCCCAAAACCTCAATTCCACGATTAAACGTTTAACAGTACTAATTTACCTAACTACTTAATTTATAAGTGTTTAGGTTATTGTCTAATAAGAATAGTGGGGGGGGTTAGATTTTGGTTGACTGGTTTTCTAATCAATTCTTATACTATGCACTCAGAAAGCAGTACAGGATACCAATGAAATGGCATTAGAAGAGTTCTGTTATACACAAAACTTATAGTCGTATGTATTTTTTCCTTGACCATTTATTTAATATACATTTCCTAAACATCTGACAAATCCTATAGCATGTAATAAGACTACAGACTTCAAGCAAAGAAAGAACCCATCACAGGTACCTGAAAATTCAAAATCCCTAGTCATTTAGAGGTTCTAACGAAATTTAAATGAAACAGTTTCTAGTTAATGTACTATATAAGTCAGTTTATATAAGTTTATGAAGTCCATATGGAAGTTTTTCAGTTTGATTAAATTTTAGACCTGTATGAGGGAACTAAATATACACAGCACCTTTGACCAGAGTACCTTTTCTGTACATCAGTATAAATCTCACCAAAATTTCTTATGTAAATTCCATGGGAATATATCACCAAGCAAAATCAAGCTAAAGATATGATTCATCACATATCACTTTAATTACAATCTCTTCAGAAACACATCTATTACACAAAGCTGCTTTGAAGCCATTATTCTGAGACTGTCATAAACCAGAGGTCAGCAAACTTTTTCTGCAAAGCGCCAGATAATAATTATTTTAAGCTTTGCAGACCATATGGTCTTTGTTGCGACTACTCAACTCTGCTGATATAGCACAAAAGCAGCCACAGACAATATGTAAACAAATGAGTGTGACTATGTTCCAATAAAACTTTATTTATGGACACTGAAGTCTGAACGTCATATAGTTTTACTATTTCACAAAATGTTCTTCTTTTGATTTTTTTGAACCATGTAAAAAGGTAAAGATCATTCTTAGCTCACCGGCTGTACAAAAACGAGTGGTGGGCCTAATCTGGCCTGCAGGCCATAGTTTGCCAATCCCTGTCATAACTGGAGATAACTGAGTATCACTGTTAAATACATTATAAACAAGTTCATTCTCTCTCCTGGTATCACTGAACAATAGGGAGGAAATAGTACCATAAAGATATGAAAAGTAAGCAATGGAAACAAAACTAATTCCAAGTCTTATTCACTGTAATAAAAAAAATAAGAAAGTAGACCTCCTTCACCCAAAATATGAGATATCACTACCTGGGAGGACCCCCTAAGGTACATCAATCCTTGATTTCCGGAGTGTTTTTTATATTATATTTAATATTAATTTAACTTAATATTGTAAAACTGACAGAAAATTTCAAATAGTCCATTCTGGAATCTAGCATTATATCTCATAAATAAGAAAAGCCACAGATGCCTCAAAAAATTCTAGTATTGAGACATTCGGTTTTCTTTCTTTCCATTTTTTTCCTTTTTATTGTTATTGCCTGACTTGCTTGCTATTTCTTTTATTTTGTATAGTGTTTATTCCGTTGTTTTGTATTGTTTTTAAAATAACCCATGAAAGTTTAATAAGTTTTACATACAAATTTTCAAAATCATAAAAAGGCACAAAGAGAAATTCTTATTCAAAAAACTTTCTGAAGGATTGAGCAGGCAATATACTATTAATGGTGAACTAACATTTATTGAATACTTACAATGTGCCAAATACTGTTATTAAATGCTTTTACACATATGAGTTCACTGCATTGTTCACAAGTACCTCAGAGGTAGAGTGCTATTGTTATCCCATTTTACAGAAGAGAAAACCAAAGCACAGAGATGTGAGGTAACTTGCCCAAAGTTACAGAATGAGTAAATGACATCTAAAACTTGAACCCAAGCAGTCTGGCTCCAAAGTCCATTCTCATAACTACTGGATTATACTGCCTCTCAAATAAAATTTAAATTATCCACTTGGTACCTTATTTTCAATTAGGATGTCTCTCAAATGCATATCAAAGGCAAGCCTTCCCACATTGAGGTTCTTGTTTTATATTCTCTTTTGGGTCCTTCTTTTGTTTGGATTTGACTTTGTAAATCCTGAGTAGCTAATGAGTTTACTAGACACCTTAAAAGTAAGTACTAGGGCTTCCCTGGTGGCGCAGTGGTTAAGAATCTGCCTGCCAATGCAAGGGACACAGGTTCAAGCCCTGGTCTGGGAAGATTCCACATGCCACAGAGCAACTAAGTCCATGCGCCACAACTACTGAGCCTGAGCTCTAGAGCCCACAAGCCACAACTACTGAGCCACGGGCCACAACTACTGAAGCCCGCGCACCTAGAGCTTGTGCTCCGCAACAAGAGAAGCCACCATAATGAGAAGCCCATGCACCACAAACCAAGAGTAGCCCCCACTCACCGCAACTAAAGAAAGCCCGCACACAACGAAGACCCAACACAGCCAAAAACAAAAAAAAAACAAACAAAAAAAGAGTAGCCCCGCTCGCCACAACTAGAGAAAGTCCACGCACAGCAACAAAGACCCAATGCAGACAAAAATAAATAATAAATTTTAAAAATATATAACATTAAAAATAATAATAAAAAAATAAGTACTAAATGCAGATGAAAATGAGTACTATGGAAGATGTGAAAAATACAGAATGAAAAGGTAGGAAAGAACCTGATTCTATCATTTGCTATCCAAGTCACATTGGGCAAGCTCTTTAATCCCTAAATCGGATCTATCACCTTCAAAATACAGGTATTTCTTTCAAGGGTACTGTGAGGATCAACTGAAATCATACATCTGACGCACTATATCAATGTAAAACAGTATTTTCGTGAAAAAAAAAAATGCCAGAGCTCACTGTAGAAAAAGCAAGAACTTCAATGCCAAGTATTATTTTGATCTTCTATTAGCCAAGTTAAAAAAG